TGGAAAATTATAGTTATTGTACTTGCTGTTTTCATAGAGAAAAGAAACTTTGACACAGGAGTTATTAGTTTATTACAGTGATTTTTTTTCTTTTCTTTTCTTTTTTTTTTTTTTTAAGAGTCTTGCCATAGGGCACAAGAGCTCACTGGGGAGAGACAAAAATAGAGAGGGAAAATGAGAAAGTACCCCTTGGAGGGAGGGCCACACTACAATCCCTTCTCCATTCTCTCAGAATCTTGGCATGATTTTCAAGCCACCAAGTCTAGAACTCAAACTGCAAAGTTAGCCATGTGGAATTCAGCTACCCCAACTTCCATACCACCTGCTGGCCATCAGTGATTTTATTTAAAGTATATATATATGTATACACATATATACTTTATATGTATATATAAATGTGTGTGTGTGTGTGTGTGTGTATATATATATATATAAATTTTTGCCATAGGTTGCATGCACTTACTAGAGAGAGACAGAGAGAAACAGGGAAAGTGGGAAATCCCCAGTGGGAATGGCCACTCTATAGCCCCTTCTTCATTCTCCCCTCGGGATTCTGGGCATGCATGCACATATGCCCAGCCTGATTTTCAAGCCGCCGGGTCCAGGACTCATACCATGGTTGGCCATGTGGGACTCCAGTGCTTTAACTACTTCACCACCTGCTGGTCCCTTAAAGTATATTCTGAACCCAGCCAAAGTAGCATGTGCTGGATTCTACTGCTTAACAGGCTGAGCCCACATGAAAAGTCTAAATTTGATTCCCAGCCCACCCTGAAAAGCTGGATACAGAAATACACACCTGTAATCCCAGCTACTTGGGAGATGGAGGCAGGAGGATTGCAGCACAGTGAGACGCTGTGTGAAATACCTCCCCTCATGCACACACATATATATATATTCTTGAATATGCTTAATCTTTGTTCATAAATGAAAAGGTTTCTGGGCTCAATTTCTTTGGTGCAGTTAATAGTATACCAGACTACAGACCACTGTTTGACCTCTTGCCTAACTGGCCTTTAAACTGGCAGGCACATGTGTCTAGGCTCCTGGAAGGCTGAAGGACTGGAGGAAGGGGATCTCAGCATGACTGATGTGCTCCTGTGAAGTTCACTTCTTCCTCTCTCTCATGCACATGCTCTATCATCAATTTAAAAATAAATAAATAGAAAACTACAAAGGTTTTTTTTTTAAGGTGATATTATGAAAAAATAAGACTACAGTGGCCATCAGATGGCATAGCAGTTACATCACTGGACTACCACATGGTCGACTGTGGTTTGAGTCCGGGACTCAGTGGCTTAAAACTCATGCAGAGTGTGTGTGCTTCCATTGCCAAAATCCCAGGAGGAGAATGGATGAGAAGGGATTGCAGCATGGCCATCCACGGGGATACTTCTAATTTTTACCTTTACTTCATATTTCAGGGTCACCACCATGAACACTGATTACTTACTATTTTGGTTGAGTGATGAATTTTCACACTCTCAGATTTATAGGAGGGGGTGATGTGGTGATGTGGTGGTTGGGGTGCTGGACTCTCACATAGCCAACTGTGGTTCGAGTGCTGGACTTGGGACTTGCTTTCTTGCTTTCCCTCTCTCTCTCTGTCTCTGTCTGGTGAGCACATGCACTCTATAGCAAATTAAAATAATAATAATAATAATAAATCAAATTAATCTTAAAAAAAAGAAAAATAAACTTGTAGGATAGGTAGGGTTGGATTCTGTCCTTGTCATTTAAGACCATTAAAGGCTACAGGTTACTTTGATTTTCTAATGTATTTTCTTGCCTCTTCTATCACAGTCCTCTACATGAAATCTGCATAGCTACTTCCAATTTGCTGTGCTTACTTGTGGAATAAGTTTATCTAAAGAATGAATAAGGCTGAAATAAAGACATGAAAGGAAATCAAATAATCAAATGTATTATGCAAATATTATTAACTTCCTAGACAACAGTAAGATATTAAATAACTATGGGCTAAAGATAGCTAGGTGCCTTTACTACAGAAGAGAGTATATAAATTATATGACAGACTTTTTCTGTTCCATAATAGGCCTTTGTCTTTAACACGGAAGGTCATGGATTGCTTTGATAGTGTACATCTTTGAAAGTCTGACTATTATTAGATAAGTGATGGAATTTAACAGTCTCTAAATTGAAGATAAGCAAAGAAAATACTCCAGAAAATAAAAGCATATCAACTGGAAAATTAAACTAAAAATATAAATGACATATTTTAGAAACAGTCAATAACTAAACAAATTCAGGTAATTCATTTATAAATAGGAACAAATAAATGAAAAAAAAATCCAGTCTCACTGGCAAACACGGAAATACATATTTAAATAAACTAATACCAGTATTAATTGATGAAATAAGTTAATTTTTTAAAACTTTTTTATAATTATTTTATTTTATTTATTCATTCATTTATTTTTTTTAATTGGACCAGAGAGAGACAGAGGGTGAGAGTGAGAGAAGAAGTGAGAAAGCAAGCCACCAGATTCAGGACTTGAACTCTGGTCGGCCATGTGGGAATGTCCAGCACCTTAACCACCACGCCACCTGCTGGTCCTGAAATAAGTTAATTTTTAAGTAAATGATTATAATGAGAGCTTTTTAGGGTATGGAAAAATGGATGCTCTTTCACATGCTATTTTTTTAAAAATTTTTTAATGTGCATTTTTTTTAAAGAAGTAGTTTATTTAATTTTATTCATATCATTATATTTTTATTTTTTGAAGTTGACCAGAATGAGAGAGAGAGAGAGAGAGAGAGAGAGAGAGAGAAGTAAAGTGAGAAAATAAGCTTCCATGTCCAGGACTAGAACCTTGGTCAGCTATGTGGGAGTCCAGTCACCTGAACCACCATGCCACCTGCTGGACCCAAACAAAACCCCCTCCCCCTACCCCTGGGGGATGGCCCTGCCACAATCCCTTCTCCTCCATTCTCCTCTTGGGATCTCGGGCACACATGCACACAAGCCCAGCGTGAATTTGCCACTGGGTCCGGGATAAGAAACCGCAGTTGACTACATGGGAGTTCAGCTACATAGCCATTATGCCAACTGCTAGTTCCTTTTCACACACTATTGACAACACTATGAAGAGTTCTTTAAAGAAAAATCAGGCAATATACAATATACTTTTTTGAACTCCACTTCTGGAAATTTACCTTATGGAAATATTTGTGGATATGTACAGAGATAGAGGGTGCTAGTGGTTACAATTAGAAAAATTGAAACTTGGTCCAGCTATGGGTTTGGTTCCTAGACCAAACTAAACAGGCTAGAGGGCTAATGAAGTGGTGAAAGCCTTTCAGTACCTCTCTCTCCTCTTCTCCTCTTCTTGTATTCTCTCTCGCTAATGAAAAAAAAAATTGAAACCTGAAAACTCAACTATAGAAACAAGATTTGTTTAAAAAAAAATATGATTTCACAGCCCAATAGAATAAGTGGTTATTAAGGATGACATAAGAGACTATTTGACAATATGACAAGGTGCTATTTTTTGAAATAAAAACTATAATACTTTCAATACTATTAGGATATATTTTAAATATAGGAGAACACAAAAAGTATACAAAATTTCTATTTCGGTAAAAAGTTACATATTACAGGGACTAGCAGATGGTGTAATGGCTACGTTGTTGGACTCCCATGTAGTCAACTGTGGTTCGAGTCCCGGACTCGGTGGCTTAAACTCACGCTGGGCGCGTGTGTGTGTGCCCAAGATCCCAAGAGGAAAATGGAAGAGAAGGGATTGCAGCATGGCCAATCTCCCTGGGGGGTAATTTCTCGCTCTCTGTCTCTCTGGCAAGTGCACGTGCCCTATAGCAAAAAACCTCTCCAAAAAAGTTACATATTACAAAAACAAAAGTATATAACAAAATGACATAAAATTTTAAATTTTTATATCTATTTCAAAATTTTCCATTATAGCCTTTTTTTTTTTTTTTTTTTTTTTTTAAGGTTTTTGCCATAGGGGATGTGCGCTTACCAGAGACAAAAACAGTAGAAGGGGAGGGAGAAACCACCCTGGAATCTCTTCTCCTCTTAGCACATGCTACTAGTGTGATTTTCAAACTGCTAGGTCCAGAACTTGAACCACAGTTGGCCATGTGGAAGTCCAGCACCTTAACCACTATGCAACCTGGTGGCACCTCCAATTTTATAATAAAAACATAGTTAAACATATTTGAAAATAGAAAGTGAGATGAAGAGGTCTAAAAAATTTTTACCAGAAAACACATATGAACATCTATTAATCTTTCTATAAGCGTATTAGGCAATATGGCACTTCTGTCCATTTAAGACATACTGCTTAAGCTTAGCCTCATTTTGACAATGGAAGTCAGATTGGGAAGTGGAAAAAAAAGAGTGTACAAGGGTGTAAGAAGGGGAACCAGCAGTTAGTGTAATGGCTATGTCGCTGGACTCCCATATAGTCGACCACGGTTCGTGTCCTGGACCCGGTGGCTTAAAACTCACGCTGGGCTTGTGTGCGTGCATGCCCAAGATCCCAAGAGGAGAATGGAGGAGAAGGGATTGCGGCGTGACCATCCCACCTGGGGGTGATTTCTTGCTTTCTGTCTCTATGTCTCTCTCTGTCTGTCTGGCGAGCGCACATGCCCTATAGCGAAAACCTCTCCAAAACAAAACAAAGCAAAGCAAAAGAAAACCAAAAAAGAGTGTAAGAAGGATCTTTTGCTCAAATACAAGTAGATCTTATAAAAGGAATTCTGAACAGAGAACAAATGAAATAGTCTTTACCCTAGTTGTACTTTTAATGTGGCAATTACTTTTCAGGATCTCAGAAGAAATTTCTTCATTGTTTTTATTTGTTTCGGGGTGTGTGTGTGTGTGTGTGTGTGTACGGGTGTGTGTGTTTGTATTTTTAAGTGATTAAAATTCAGCTTTATGGTTTGCAAAAAAAGAAATGAGAATTCAATAACAAATGTTAGATGGTTAACACTTTCCATTTGAGAACAATACTTACCTTTGGGTTGTTGGCATCAAACAGACCAGTTGAAAGTCCAATCAGCAAGGAATTCTTGTTTATATTTCTTGGGGGTGAATCAGAGCGAGATCGAAGTAGAAAGGAGTCTTCTGGTGAACAATGAATTGACTGAAGCTGAGGAACTAAATTCAAGTGTTCAGAATGAACCACTTTATGAAAAAATGGTTCTGGTTGCATAGATTTGTCTATATCACACTTAGGCTGCTGATAATCATCTATTTCAGGTTCTGTGGGTTCAAGGAGAGATTACATGTTAAGTCCATACAGTACTTACAGGATATCAATAAGGCAAGTATTTAACATGAATTCTAGCAAAAAAGTCCATGTCTACCAGAACGAAACCAACATATGTGCCTCAATATATTACCTTACATAAATTCTCTTCAGAAAGATTTAATGTTTTATTTTCAGAAAATAGATTGAACTTGTTATGTACTTCTATTACATTGAAAGATCTGAATATAGAAACAAATCCAAGGAAACATGAAAAATACATTGTTATACATTTCCAGTTTATCTTTGTTCCTATAGGTTAGATAGGAAAATTACACTTCTTACATTTTTTTTTTTTTTTTTGGAGAGGTTCTTGCTATAGGGCAGGTGCGCTTGCCAGACAGAGAGAGACAGAGAGACAGAAAGCAAGAAATCACCCCCCATGGCCACGCCACAATCCCTTCTCCTCCATCCTCCTCTCGGGATCTTCGGCACGCACGCACATGCGCCTGGCATGAGTTTAAGCCACTGGGTCCAGGACTCGAACCGTGGTCGACTACGTGGGAGTCCAGCAACATAGCCATTATGCTAACTGCTGGTCCCCACTTCTTACATTTTAATCAATATGTTTTAAGGGGGCAGCAGGTAGTGTGGTAGTTAAGGTGCTGGTCTCCCACATGGTCAACTGTGGTTCAAGGCCTAGACCTGGTCACTTGTTTGCTCACTTTCTAAGTAAATAAAATAAAATAGAAGCCGGCGCGGGGCGCGCCCGGCG